AGAGAGACTTAGCGATTTTAATGTGTACCTGCACACCAGCACAGTGTGTAAGTATATTTAGGTACAGGTACACATAAGTATAATTATCAGAGTACATATAAAATATGCAGTAACTTTAAAACACTTGAAATTTTGGAAAGTTTCCTGACATAATAGATGTGGTCACGGAAAATGTAAACAAACCGGGTGGGGGGCGCCGTATTTAAAAGACCGCTTGCCGTATAGCAAATTATGGTCATAATTTGACATCGCCGTATTAGCGGAACGCCATAAGGCGAAACACCGTAAAGCGGGGCCTTACTGTACACAGAAAACAATGAGACATGAAGAATGAAACAATATTAGCACGACACTTACCTTTATTGAAGATTCTTCTTAGTGTATGGAAGAAGAGAGGAGGGGAGAGGATGGATTAATTACTGTTTGGAAGGGGAATCCCTTTCCATAAAGACTTCAGGTACCAAGTGCTTTTCCGGGGTTACTTCCCGTCTTTGTTTTTTAATGCCACTAGGACCAGCTTGGGAGTCACTGCACACCTATGGCACTAAATATCTGTCCAGAGAGCTCTGTTTCTGGCATCTCTTTAAAATTTCCCTAAAATGGGACAAGACATTGTCATTGTACATGTTGCCAACACAGCTTTGTCAGGGTGATGTTCCTCCATAAATCTTTCCATCCTACTCCACATTACACAAATCTCCTTAGTCTCTGAATAAGGCACCTTCTTCCATCTCTCTCCCTCCTCCTCTGAAGCAGTTTCCTGAGCTGTGGTCTGTTGCTGTTCCAGATGAAGCTCTTGCAGCTCTTCAGTGGTTAGCTCTTCGTTGTAGTCCTCCTCCAACTTCCACATCCTCGCCACTCACATCCAACCCCATGGAATTCCCCAATGCCACAGTAGACTCCACAACTGGCATAGGGTCCTCAGGTTCAGCCCCAAACCCTTCAAAATTCATCTTTTGGATACAATCTGGCCATAATCTTCTCCAAGCAGAGTTCAAAGTCCTGGAAATCACTCCCTCCCAAAACTCTCTTAGGGTCAATTGAGTGTCTGAGGTCACATCATAGCACCTTTGAAATATTGCTTTGGTGTAGAGTTTTTGAAGTTTGAAATGATCTGCTGGTCCATGGGCAGGATGAGAGGAGTGGTATTAGGGGGCAAGAACTTCACTGTGATGAAACGAAACTCCTCCACAATTTGGTCATCCAAGTCTGGAGGATGAGCAGGTGCATTGTCCATTACCAGGAAGCGCTTGAGTTCCAATTTATTTTCCAGGAGGTATTTCTTCACACTGCAGCCAAACACTTCATTGAACCAATCAAGGAAAATTTCCCTTGTGACCCATGCCTTACTTTTAGCCTTCCACATCACACACACAATTTACTCTTGGCGACACTGTTTTTCTTGAACAACCTGGGATTTTCAGAGTGATACACTAGTAAAGGCTTCACTTTGAAATCCCCACTAGTATTACTACAGAACAAAAGAGTAAACTTGTCTTTCATAGGCATGTGTCCTGGTAGTGCCTTTTCCTCCTGCATGATGTAGGTCCTCCTTGGCATTTTCTTCCAGAGAGGCCTGTTTCGTCATAATTGAACACATGTTGGGGTTTGAATTCTTCAGCTTCTATGTACCCCTTGAATTCACTCACATATTTTTCAGCCGCATATTTGTCAGAACTGGCAGCCTCACCATACCTTACCACACTGTGTATGCCACTATCCTTCTTAAAACTCTCAAACCAGCCTTTGCTGGCCTTAAATTCACTAGCATAGCACTCGTTGCAGAGATTTTCTTTACGAGATTGGCATGCAACTACCTTGCCTTTTCACAAATTATCAATTGCATAACACTATCTCCTACTAATTGTTTCTTGTTGATCCACACCAACAGTAACTTCTCAACATCTTTGAGCACTTGTGATCTCATTTTTGTGAGCATATTTACCCCTTTTGCAACAACAGCTTCCTTGATTTCCTTTTTCTTGGCCATGATGGAAGCGATTGTTGTATGGGGTTTCCCATACCGCATGGCAAGTTCTGCCACACGCATTCCACTTTCATATTTTTCAATAATGTCTTTCTTGAATTCTATCATGTTTCTCAGCTTCTTTACCAAAGGCTCAGCACTAGGAGCTTTCTTTGGAGCCATGGTGGCTTATTTAGCAGTTGCAAGCACTAAAACGAATGGAATATTACAAAATGTATCGTATGAATGCGTGGGATCATCCTCACTCTCTGATAGTGGCACACTGGCTGGGAATGGAGTGTGGGGCCACTTGGGGCCATGTGTACGCGTTTATGACAAATGACTACATGTATTTGCGAGTCAAACAACGATTCGCAAGTCAGTGTTTTGACGAAAAAAGTTACGATTTTCGAAAATTATGACCTCCGATGCTTGCGAAAAACGAGGGTCCACTGTGCTATTAGTATCAATAAAGGTATCTACCTATCATATTTATTCCAGAATAATATTAGGTATAATATAAATAACGCAAAAGCATGATAAAGACGCCCAAATTAATAAAAACTGACAATATATAGAAAAATGTAACTATAGGAAATCACTCTTACCCTATGCAAAGACTGAAAAAAGTATGATTTTCTCAGAAAAAAAAAAAAATCCCAAGCAATCAGCTATGCACATTGCCTGGAATATCTCGGAAGTATGTCATTGACCTATTTCATGATTTATTACTGTTAATAATAAACAGATTGAAAGGAATTTCCCAGCAAACATAAAACTGAATGTTTTAATTTTGGGTGGTGACACTTTTGAAGTGTCAGTCAGGGGTTATTCCTCAATTAGTAATGAAATCGTTTACTGATAGGGTCTTAGGCCCCTAACTTCTTCGCTAAGTTAGGAGAGGCTGTATACATTACTTTAGTATGTATAGAAGTCAGAGAGCTGGTCATAAGTCCGAGTGATCATTAACCCTTTCAGGGTCCAAAGGCCAAATTTCAAAGTGCGCACCGGTGTCCAAGAATTTTCAAAAAATAATTTTGTTATTTTTTCTTATGAAATGGTAGAGAATCTTTTTCTAAAGGTAATAAAACAAAAAGTACAAAATTTGATGGAAAATTGACAAAATTATGCTCACGAATTTTGATGTGTCAACAATAAGCGCATCGGCGATTTTGCCGACTTTGACTCCCATTTTAGGGCAATTATATTATTCCAGTCAACCAAATTCTTAGCTATTTCACTAGTATTACTTCTATTCTATCGATTGAGCACAAGAAATCGCCAAGTCACCTGTTTAAACAACAAAATAAAGCGATCGGAAATTGGTAATTTGGCCAATTTAATACAAAGTTCAGAATATTCTAATTTCAAAATAGGGTCCAGAATAAACAATGCAGGCATTCCTGGAACTAAACTAACATTTCCTCTGTTCATTAGTTATGTTTTCAGGTTTTACAAATGAATTTCATTTTGATTTTTTATTCACATAATGAATTTTTATTCAAACCAAAAGATAGATGATTTACTGTTATGCAATACTGTAATAATTGTATAAATAATATCACCACATTTGTGAGCATATACTAGACCCACCAGCTGGCGTGTATTAGACATGTGGGATCATTTATTTACTCTTGAACATTGGCAAAAATTTAACATTTCTGCTATTTTGAGCTCAGTTTCAACCCATTTCCATTACTAAAACCAATCAAAATCATCTCCATTTCTGTAACATATCTTCCATTCTATCAAATGAGACCAAGAAATTGCAAATACAACTATAAAAAACATACGAAAAAGCACTGCAAAATCGCTGTTTTAACCGAAAATTATGGTCTCAGTTTTTTCTCTCATGCACTGTGTGCTGCAGGATTTATTTTATGTGGTGCACACATACAACATAGATGTATTCTCTCATATCTAGGCCCAAATTTACTGCTCACAGTTATCAGAGTGAGCTGAGCTCATGGCATAGATCTACGGTTTGGACCCTCAACATCTAGCCATAGGGTCACATCCTGGGGGACAAGATTGAGGACCCCAGTGGAAATAAGACGGACAGTCCTCGATGACACACTGCCTTTCTTGGGTTATCCTGGGTGGCTAACCCTGCGGGGTTAAAAATACAAATGAAATCTTATCTTATCTTATCTTCTCATTCTTTCCTAGGGTGACCCCTATCCAGGATTCCCTCCACTATAGATTTATACACCCTCCAAGTCATCAAATTTTCCTTTATCCTCTTTAAATGTCCAAACCACCTCAACAACCCCCTCTCTACTCTCTGGATAATATATGCACATAAATATTCATACACACACCTCCATGGGGCAGTGGAGAAGAATCCTTTCCCCGTAAGACGTGTGTCATAAGAAGCGACCAAAATGCCAGGAGCAAGGGACTAGTAACCTCTTCTCCTGTATACATACCAATTTTAAAGAGAAATTTTTTCTTTTTAGGTCACCTGCCTTGGTAGGATAAGGCCGGTTTGTAAAAAAAAAAAAAAAAGATAGAAGAAAAACTTTATGAAAGCATTTCTTGTTTTCGGGTCATCCTGCCTCTGTGGGAGATGCCCAGTGTTAAAAAAAAAAAACATTCATGTATGTATTTTTTCTGTATCTTTATTTTTTCACTCCATTGTCTCTCTCCATTTCCCTTTCCCCCCCTCTCCTTGTTTTTTCCTTCCTTCTTTCTTTTCCCCTTCTCCCTCCTTATTTTGTAAGTTGCCATGATGTTTCAGCCATTTTGAAGTGAATTTACTAGAGATGAAGGAACTCAGTGTCACAGTAGGCATCTTGGGTTTTTACATTAAGGTTTATTTAATATGAATTAATTTATGGCACTTTGCATTTGTCATTAGGTGAACAAGCAGAATAACATAAGAAAGTCTTCATAAATTTTTGTACATTTGTTTACAAATGAAGGCTGTACTTGTTGCAGGATCAAATATTGGAAATGTATCGATATAAATGAATAGTATACTTCTTGAAAAATATGCAGTTAGAAGCCAGTTTTTTTTTTTTTTTTTTTTTAGGTGGTACCCCTTCTTGCTGAACAGTTTGAAGCCAAGTGTGAAGAGACAGCCAAAAAGAAAACCATTACAATACTCGGAAAATTCTTGAATAAGGGAGCAAAATTTCCAAATTTACTGGAAGGTATTTATATCTGTATTTTTGGCATTAATTGGTCTTTCTTCCCCTGCACATTGAAGCATTTAATGAATAGGTACGTGCTTTACACAGTAACTTTCAAATCCAAATAAGAATTTTTATGCTGCCACTGCATGAGTAGTCCCTCAACTGGTGTAGAATACCTTACACTTAGATCTTTCTTCCTTGGTTAAGCCAGCAGAATGCTCTTGAGCTCCATCAAGCATGTGACGCTTGGTGCATGGTGCAATTCTTTTTTTCCACAATGGTTGAACCATTACACCACTGTACATTTGTTTCCATATATTACAACCCAGGTACTCAAAGGCTTGTTATCCTGGGTGTAAAGGGAGCAAAATAAACACAGCAGAAAAAACTTTGAATTATATTATCCTTTGCCAAGTATAGACAGAAGTATGTACACTATATATACTATGTACAGCAATAGGTATTAGTGCATGCCACGGTAATCAAGGCAGAATTGAAGCCAATAGAATGCAGACCACTGTGCTTCAACCAGCTCTTGAATGGAAATGACAAGGGTGAGAATGTGAGTGGTATCCACGTCACCTTCACAGTTGCCAGATCCACAATATGATTGGCTGAACCTAGATACTGATCTGATGATGGGGCCCCGTTAGATCGTTAGATCCTTAGTATCTGGTTCGCTGGTTGGGGAGGCAGCCTCTGTGAGTGTGTTAACATGCTCCGAATAATGATTACATACTCTTTGCATGCAACACCATATATATGACAGTGGACTGTACACTAGCCTTTGCTAGGTCAAGCTGATAATGAATGCTGAATTTCTTGAAACTGTTTTGATGCAAGTATTCTGTATAATTTAAGCATAATTTTCCTAGTACTAAGGACTTTTGTGCTGACTAAATGATTCCTCAGCAAAGCACAGCTGCAGAAAATCCACAAGATATTTGTAAAAGTTTATGAAATCAAATCAAATCAAATCAAAGTTTATTCTCTATAAGGATTACAATGCGGGGTTTACAGATTTTGGTTATTGTGTGGTTTACATGTAATAAAATACTAATTACAGAGGGGGCCACTAGAACACCTAGCAAGGCTAGGCATTTCGGGTAAACTTAGATTAATTCATAACCCTAAATTATTACAAATTGTGGAGTAAATTGACTAAATACTAAGTGACTAAATGCTAAGTGACTAAATACTAGTTTGTGAGTTTAGCAATGTGAATGCTTTTGTTTTGGCACAATACAGTGGAACCTCAAAAATCGAACGTATCACATATCGAACGTTTCAAAAATAAGACCATTTTTTCGGACAAACTGTGTCCCTATTATCGAATGCGCCCCTATTTTCGGACCTCCGGGTACAGGACCTGTCCGCTGGCCCGCTCTGTCCACATCCCCACGCAGGCGCCGTGAGCAGCCTAGCTTTGTTTATGCTTGAGTGAACACTAACCTGTAATCTCATTCACACATTTTACGATTATTTAATTGTGTTTAGTGCTTGTAGGGCTGTGAAATAAGCTGCCATGGGCCCAAAGAAACTTGCTAGTGGTACCCCTGTGGTAAAGAAAGTGAGAAACACCATAGATGTGAAGAAGGAAATAATACAGAAGTATGAGATTGGAGTGAGATTTGTTGAGCTTGCCAGGATGTACAGAGGACTGTGGACAGTTATTTTGTGAGACAGAAACAGACGACTGTGGACAGTTATTTTGTGAGACAGAAACAGATGACTGGACAGTTATTTTGTGAGACAGAAACAGACGACTGTGGAGTTATTTTGTGAGACAAACAGACAATTGTGGACAGTTATTTTGTGAGACAGAAACAGATGACTCTGGAGTTATTTTGTGAGACAGAAACAGACAACTGTGGAGTTACTTTGTGAGACAAGCAGATGATTGTGGACAGTTATTTTGTGAGACAGAAACAGATGACTGTGGACAGTTATTTTGTGAGACAGAAACAGACGACTGGAGTTATTTTGTGAGACAAACAGATGAATGTGGACAGTTATTTTGTGAGACAGAAACAGACGACTGTGGATAGTTATTTTGTGAGACAGAAACAGACGACTGTAGACAGTTATTTTGTGAGACTGGGGTCCAATTACTCTCAAGCTGGTCCTAGTGGCATTAAAATACAGAGAAGGGAAGCAACCCCAGAGAGGGCTTTGATACCAGAAGTCCTCATGGAGGGGGATTCTCCTTCCAAACAATAACCCCAGCTACCTCTCTCCTCCTCCCTATCTTCCAGATGCCATCACCAATCTTCAATAAAGGTAAGTAAAAATGTTATTTTATATTACTATACATAATTAAAGACTATAGCATTTGTTGTGTGTATGTAAAACTGTATTTTTTTTGTGAATATTTTTGGGTTTCTGGAATGGATTAATTGTATTTCCATTATTTCTTATGGGAAATATTGCTTCGAATTTCAGACTTTTCGAATTTAGAAATAGCTCCTGGAACGGATTAAGTTCGAAATTTGAGGTTCCACTGTACATAGTTTCTATATTGGAGTATCACAGGCAAACTTGTGACTAGTTAGGAATCATTATTTTAAGATTAAGATACGTATTTCTGTGCTTATAGTCAAATGGGTGAGTGAGTGAGTGTAAGTGTGAACCACCAGGTGGTTTTTATGTAGTTAGTTGACGGGGTGTATCAGGGAGATAAGATGTTTTCTAACAGGAGTTTTGAAGGTGATGAATGTGTCTGCAGTTCTAGAGTTTTCAGGTAGGGTAGAGTAGGGTAAACCAAAAAGTATTTAACTGTTCAAATAATATTGTTTTAATGAACAGCCATAATGTGTAATCTTCTAGTTTACCTGTGCCAGATTTCAAGAGTATTTTTACCCTCGGACCAGCCTAAGATTACACTGTTTATGTTTACTGAAAACAGAACACTGCCAGCATATAGCTGTGCTCCTGTAGCTGTATGTAATTACAAATACAGTAAGTAATTACAAAAATTTCCTTGAATACAATAGCCAGAGCCCTCAGATTTGCAGGAATTATATTCCTAGAGTTCTCAGTAAATAAGATTTAGGCTCATTTGTGTTTCAGAGGCTATTATGAGTAGAAGCGTATACATAGTTTTCATTTTATTTATGGTTATTTATGAATCCCCATCCCCTCAAAAATTAGAGTTTATAAATTATGAATGCTGCAGATATAACGGTCTGACTGTACTGCAATGTAATAACAGAGTAACTACTGATTTTTTCAGAGAATGGCAGTATAGGGAAATATGAGATTTCTTGTTGGGCTGCATTTTCTCGAGGTCTGTCAGGAGAGACATCTTCACTTCAGGAAGCCACTGTGTCAGCTCTCACTACTGCTTTGCCTGCATTTAAACCTCAAACTCTCGGCTTGGTGGCTCACTCCTTAACCACACTGCTCCTCACCAAAAATAATGATTTACTTAGGTAAGCAACATCAAGTCTTTCATCTTAGATAGAATTACTGTCAATGGATTGTGCACCCACCACTGACAGTTGGTAGTAGAGATGTAGAACCTCCTTTGCAATGTTCTAGAATGACAGGAACCAAGATTGTGGAGGTTACCATGGTGCAAAGGGGATGCAGCAAATCATTAACATTTGCAGTCATCTCCAGCAAGAGGGAAACTTGAGGAAATTTTTTAACACATTGGCTGCCTCCCACCAAGAAAGGGTGACACTTTCATCATCTCCATTCATTCAGTAACTGTTTTGCCAGAAATGCACAGACATCAGTCACATTTCAAATGACCTTCCGAACTGCAATGCATGAGAGGATTTCTGGAAGAAGCCACAACAGGGGGATAAATAAATGTTCCTGTGAAGAATTACTCGAGATCCTTGTTCATGATGGACAGAGCTACAGGATCATTGTAGGTTTTTCCTGTCAAACAGTGTACCTGTAATCTTTTACCAATTTGGCCCTCATGCTCTGTTGCCAAGATAGGTGCCTCTGGATAGATAGCTCCTTCCCAGGAAGTTCTGAGAACCATGAGAGCTTGGCCTGTAATTCCATCTATTTTAGGAGCTCTTCTGCAGTGATGCAGGATCCAGATGTTCTTTCCTAAGGGTGTAGTGGGTTTATTAGGGCTGTAACATCTGAGAGAGACATGGAGACCAAGTAAGGTGGAGGTCCTTGCTGAGGTTAGGTTAACCTAATCTAACTTAAATCAACCACCTCCTTAAGCACAGTGTCACTGCTTAACCCTTTCAGGGTCCAAGGCCAAAATCTGAAGTGGTGCCCCAGTGTCCAAGAATTTAAAAAAAATAAAATTTGTTATTTTTTCTTATGAAATGGTAGAGAATCTTTTTGTGAAGGTAATAAAACAAAAAGTATGAAATTTGATGGAAAATTGACGAAATTATGCTCTCGCGAATTTTGATGTGTCAGCGATATTTACGAATCGGCGATTTTGCTGACTTTGACTCCCATTTTAGGCCTATTACATTATTCCAGTCAACCAAATTCTTAGCTATTTCACTAGTATTACTTCTATTCTATCGATTGAGCACAAGAAATTGCCAAGCCAACTGTTTCAACTACAAAATAAAGTGATCGGAAATTGGTAATTTGGCCAATTTAACACAAAGTTCAAAATATTCCAATTTCAAAATAGGGTCCAGACTAAACAATATAGGTATTCCTGGCACTAAACTAACATTTACTCTGTTCATTAGTTACATTTTGAGGCTTTACAAATAAATTCCATTTTGATTTTTTATTCACATAATGAATTTTTATTCACACCAAAAAATAGAAGATTTACTGTTATGCAATATTGTAATAATTGTATAAATATCATCACCACATTTGTGAATGTCTATTAGACCCACCAGCTGGCGTGTATTAGACGTGTGAGATCGTTTGTTTACTCTTGAACATCGGCAAAAATTTAACATTTCTGCTATTTTGAGCTCAGTTTCAAGCCATTTCCAGTGCTAAAACCAATCAAAATCATCTCCATTTCTGTAACATATCTTCCATTCTATCAAATGAGACCAAGAAATTGCAAATACAACTATAAAAAACATACGAAAAAGCACTGCAAAGTCGCTGTTTTAACCGAAAATTATGGTCTCAGTTTTTTCTCTCATTATACACAGTGTGCTGCAGGATTTGTTTTATGTGGTGCACACATACCACATAGATGTATTCTCTCATATCTAGGCCCAAATTTACCACTCACAGTTTATCAGAGCTGAGCTGAGCTCATGACATAGATCTACGGTTTGGACCCTGAATGTAAAGCCATAGATCTACGGGACGGACCCTGAAAGGGTTAAAGTATTGGTAACCTATCTCTCTCTTTAAGTTCAAGAATGGGATACCTTTTCATGGATTTTGCCTACTAGCTGTAGACTTGCAGTTTTTATTTTTCCTCTAGGCCTTGGCTAACGAAGTGTAAATAAGAGTCTAATGGCTTGGTGTGTTCATTATTTTTAGGTATTTTTTCTTGGTTACTTCCTCTTACTCTTTTTTTTTTTTCTCTGAGCTCTAGATTATTTTAGAATATCCTAGGTAGTAATTTCAGTTTGCACATTTTGCAATTCTCAGCTAAATCTTTTGAAACCTGTTGAAAACATTTTGAAGCCTTTCACAACTACCAGTACCTCAGGAAATGGAGATCAAAATACTAGGTAGACACTGTCTTGATCTGTTCTGGACAGTTATTTTGATGATCAAAGCATTATCTTCTTTCATCCCTGATTTGTAAGTCAATTGTTATTAAATTATTAAATTCACAGAGGAGCACTAAATCAATAGGGGTTTTACAGTGCCTGGGGAATGGGAAGCAATCAAATTTAATCCATGAAAGAGAGGGGTAGCACCAATTTCTTGGATCAAGGGCCCCTTCACTGGCATCAAGGCACATCCTCTTAAGGGACATGGGGGTTAGTTGCAAATAGTTTCAGCCACAGTATTATGATCTTTTCTATTTGGAAGCTCTCTGGTGTACAATCACCACTTTTTTTTTTTAACAAGATGGCCATCTCCCAGCAAGGCAGGGTGACCAAAAAATAAAGAAAATCCCCAAAAAGAAAATACTTTCATCATAATTCAACGCTTTCACCTCACTCACACATAATCACTGTCTCTGTAGAGGTGCCCAGATACAACAGTTTAGAAGCATATATAACACCCCTCCAAACTGCCAATATCCCAAACCCCTCCTTTAAAGTGCAGGCATTGTGCTTCCCATTTCCAGTACTCAAGTCCGGCTATATAAAACTAATCGGTTTCCCTGAGTCCCTTCACTAAATATTACCCTGCTCACACTCCAACAGCTCGTCAGGTCCCAAAAACCATTCGTCTCCATTTACTCCTATCTAGCATGCTCACATATGCTTACTGGAAGTCCAAGCCCCTCACCCACAAAACCTCCTTTACCCCCTCCCTCCAACCTTTTCAAGGATGACCCCCTACCCTGCCTTCTTTCTCCTACAGATTTATACATTCTCCAGTTCATTCTGCTTTGATCCATTCTCTCTAAATGACCAAACCACCTCAACAACCCCTCTTCAGCCCTCTGACTAATACTTTTAGTAATTCCACACCTCCTAATTTCCACACTCCGAATTTTCTGCATAATATTTACACCACACATTGTCCTTAGACAGGATATCTCCACTGCCTCCAGCTGCCTCCTTGCTGCAGCATTTGCAACCCAAGCTTCACACCCATATAAGAGTGTTGGTACCACTATACTTTCGTACATTCCCTTCTTTGCCTATGTGGATAACATTTTTTGTCTCCACAGATACCTCAACGCACCACTCACCTTTTTTCTTTCATCAGTTCTATGGTTAACCTCATCCTTCATAAACCCATCCGCTAACAAGTCAACTCCCAAATATCTGAAAACATTCACTTCTTCCATACTCCTCCTCTCCAATGCGATATCCAATTTTTCTTTATCTAAATCATTTGATACCCTCATCACCTTACTCTTATCTATGTTCACTTTCAACTTTCTACCTTTACATACCCTCCCAGACTCGTCCACTAACCTTTGCAACTTTTCTTCAGAATCTCCCATAAGCGCAGTATCATCAGCAAAACGTAACTGTGTCAGCCATTTTGTATTCGATTCCCCATAATTTAATCCCACCCCTCTCCCCAACACCCTAGCATTTACTTCTTTTACAACCCCATCTATAAATATATTAAACAACCATGGTGACATTACACATCCCTGTCTAAGACCTACTTTTACCGGGAAGTAATCTCCCTCTCTCCTACACACCCTAAGCTAAACCTCACTATCCTCATAAAAACTCTTTACAGCATTTAGTAACTTACTACCTATTCCATATACATTGAACCCGCAGTTAACGACATTAATCCATTCCAGAGATCTTGTCCTTAACCGATTTATCGTTATCCAAATTAATTTTCCCCATAAGAAATAATGGAATTTCAATTAATCCGTTCCAGGCACCCAAAAGTATTAAAAAAAAAAAATTTTCACATTAAATATACATTTTTCTACACAGAAAACAATGAGACATGCAGAATAAATACATTAATATTTCATAAAATGACACTTATCTTTATTGAAGACTTAGTGATGAGACAGGAGCAGGGGAGAGGATAGTGTTGTATTATTGTTTGGAAGGGGAATCCCCTTCCATAAGGACTTTAGGTAGAAAGTCCTTTTCTAGGGTTACCTCCCTTCTTTGTTTTTTAATACCACTGGGACCAGCTTGAGAGTCACTGGACCCCTGTGGCACCAAAAATTGGTTCAGAAAGCTGTTTCTGGCGTGTCTTTATGATTTCCCTAAAATGGGACACAAAATTGTCATTGTAAAAGTCACCAGCACAGCTTGCAGCAGCTGTGTCAGGGTGATGTTCATCCATATAGGCTTGCACCTTTGTCCACATTGTACAAATGTCCTTGTGTAAGAATGGTATATAATACCGACATGATGAAATTAAGACACATGTGCAACATCTGGGTATCTTTATTGTAGACGTTTCACCATCCAGTGGCTTTATCAATACAAATTCTAGGACATAACTTGAAGACAGTAGAACTATGTACAGAAGATGAGGTAATCAGTCCCTCAACCTAGGAGTAGGTGCGAAGAGCGCCATAGTCGTGGAGATTCTGAATCTCCACGACTATGGTGCTCTTCGCACCTACTCCTAGGTTGAGGGACTGATTACCTCATCTTCTGTACATAGTTCTACTGTCTTCAAGTTATGTCCTAGAATTTGTATTGATAAAGCCACTGGATGGCGAAACGTCTACAATAAAGATACCCAGATGTTGCACATGTGTCTTAATTTCACAAATGTCCTTAATCGTTGAAGAATGCAACTTCCTCCATCTCTCTTCCCCCTCTGAAGCAATTTCCTCAGCTGTGGTCTGTTGCTGTTGCAGATGAAGCTCTTGCAGCTCATCATTGGTTAGCTCTTCATCATC